TGAGGCTGGATTACAATCCAGAGTCACTGGTATTTTCATGAAAAGAGCTTGTTCATAACGTGTTGGTATTAAGAACTATTCGTTTGGCCTTCATATCTTTCCTTCATATAAAAGAAAAGGTTGTTCATGTATCAACAGACAATACAATCAACAGACAATACATGAACAAACCAGAGGAGTCCTCATTCTTTCCAGTTATGTTGTGAAACAGTCAAATTATGGGATTTATGCATGCTTTGAGATCTATCTGGTTGTCCTGAATTTAGGAGGGGAAAGCAATGTGCTAGCAGATTGTCAGCAGGAACAGTTCTCAAATTCATGAGTGGTCCCCAAAGGATTGAGTAACATGAGACATCTTTTCCTGTTGGGATCGGCCTGATGTAGACCTGTTTGCTACAAGGATCAATAAAAAGTTTCCTCTCCTCTGTTCAAGAGCAGAGAGGGAGAGTCCTTCTACACAGGGTAAGAGTATGCCCTTCCCCCCTTTCCATTGATTCAGAAAGTGGTGCAGAGGAAACGTCAGGACAGGGCAAAAATGATATTTGATTGCCACAACTTAGCCGAGACAGCAGTAGCATAAGCTTTTTCTTGAGCTATTAGTTAGACTGTACCTGTATCTTCCTCTGGCTCCAGATCTCTTATCATAGCAACTAGGCAGGATCCTTCATCCAGATCCTCATCTTACTACCTGCTATTGGACCTTGGCTAGTCTTGAAAAGTCATATTCCTCTTTGGTTCAAAATGTACTGCTTAATTCTAGAAAATTGTCTACTAGAAATGTTACTATTTGAAATGGGCTAGATTTTGTTGCATGAATGCAGGAAAATTTGATTGTCCAGTTTCATCTTCCATACCGTGTATTTTGGAATATTTAATGTACTTAAAATCTGAAGGATTATCTGATTCTTCCTTAAAAGTTCACATGGAAGCTGTTTCATTTTACTATACTTTGATTGATGGTAGATCACTCTTTGCATGTTATTCTGTTAAAAGGTTTATGAAGGGATATTTAATGTGTATCGGCCTTTAAAGCATGCTGGGATCTTAATCTGGTTTTATCTACGTTTATGAGGGTACCTTTTTAACCTCTGGTAGAGTGTTCTTTATTTTGTGTATCTATTAAAGAGATCTTCATTATTGTTATAATGTCAGCCAGAAGGGTGAGCAAATTCCATCCCTGACGTCTGACATGCCAGTTATAGTTTTTCGTAAAGATAAGATAGCTCTTAGACCTGATCCCTATGTTTTACCAAAAGTGGTGTCCAAGTTTCCTATCAACCAGACAATTTTACTAGTGTTTTTTTCCCAAAAACCTCACACTAATAAAGGGAAATCTGTGTTATGTACTTTATATGCTAGAAGTGTTCTTCCATGTTATTTAAATATAACAGAGTTTTCAGAGTTCATCTAGGTTTTTGTTTGTTATGCTAAGAAAAATAGGGATCAGTGTGTGTCTGCTCAGACTATTTCCAGATGGGTTAAACAATGTGTCATTTAGTGCTACAAATTAGCAGAAAATCCTGTGCTTTCTGTGTTGTATGGTCTCATTCTGCATGGCGGTAGAGGCATCTTTTGCTTTTCTTAAACATGTTCCAGCTAGGAACTGCTACCTGGCTGCTATCTGGAAGTCAGTGAACGCATTCACTAAATGTTATGCTCTGGATCTGGCTTCAAGAGTGAACGCCAAATTTGGTATAGCAGTGCTTCAGTCATTATTTAATTTTGACTTTGGTCCCACCTCCTGGGTTTTCAGCACTGCTTGTCAAACTGCCCATAGCAGATAATATGCAGAGCCACTCGAAGAAGAAATGAAGGTTACTTTGTTGTAACACAAGTTCTTCAATATGATTGCATATTCACACTTCCCTCCTATCTCCCCCTCTTTCTCAGAGTCCTATAATGGTCACTCTGAGTTAACAATGGAAGGAATTGAGACTGTAGAGGGCCAGCGTCACCTTGTAAAGCTTTTGGAAATGCCAAGGGAAAGAGGCAAGGCATGTGCTCTTTAACGCGCACTGCTTGGAGGAGGTTCTTCGGTTAGGCACCACCCGGTGGTACAATATCTGTAAGTGTGAATATGTAATCATCTCAAAGAACTGTGAGTTATAGGGAAGTAACCTTCATTTATCATTCTTTGCATGCTATAAAGTGAACACATCAAAACAGAATAGTCCAATACCTGTTCAGAGACTGGAAAGTTCAATGAAACCCAAAGCTACTAAATAATATACTAACTTTTTGGAAGAAGATTATATTTAAAGAGAAGTTATCCAGATACTAAATATAGTAACACACAGAGCTGCCAACCAGGATGGGACAGGAAACGGTAGTATTGGCTATGCCAGTTACACCCTATTAAGGCAATTGGGCTAGCAACTTATGGAACAATCCTCTCTCTGTACTCTAAGTTGAACCTGCCATACTTATCCAGCATTCTGTCTCCCTTGTGGTGGAGTCAGTTTGCTAGCACTCTTTCCTACTTGGAGCACATTTTGGCATTGTTCCTTTTAAGAAGGTTTAGATATGCTGGGTCTCAAGCAAAAGACACTTTTCTTTTCTTTGTCTTATGACCCTTCTTTTCCCCCACGCCCCTCAGGGCCAACTGTTCAGCAAAACATTCCCTCCTAATGTAGCCAATATGGGTTATCTGAGTCGACTTCCAAAATTCCTTAGGACTTTCCATTGGTGGAAGCTCCCAACCAATATAATATAGGAAGTTCATTTTGATCCTCTATCCCCAGCCATTGTGATCATCACAAATGCATCCAGTTTGGGTTTGAAAACTTATCTCCGAAGCTGAGAGTTCAAAATTGGTGGAATCTGGGGGAGGAAACCAAGTGCCATATACATGTAGTGGACCAAAACTATTAGGTTGCCTCAAATCCTTTCTGGCATTGAATAAGGGCTATGTTGTTAACATAATAGCTAAATATTACATTAATAAATAATGAGGTGCTAGTTAACAATAATGCCAGGAAATAATGGCTGTGTCAGATGGGAGTCTGGCTCATCAAATGCAACTCAGCAGATCTGACTGACAGAGAATATGGCAACAGACTCTCAGTCGCTGGCTGCAGGAACAGTGTGAGTGTTCCTTGAAACAGACAGTGATGGATAGACTATCACAGACACATTCTTGCTGAACTGGAGCAAGGGATTCTTTGATGCCTTTCCAACAATTCCAATGGTAATAAAAAGATACAAGACGTTCTCCAAAATCATACTAGTTGCCCTAGTTGAGCTAGACAGTATTGGTACATGAAGTTCCTTGGTCTTCAACATTCATCATCAGACCTGCTATCACAGGAAGACTATTTTCTCTATTTTACCAACCTGGAGTTACTTCATCTCCATTGCTTTGATCATAAGACATTGACTACTTCTGATGTGGAATGCTCTGTGGAAATAGAGGAGGCTCTGCTACATTCTCTAAAGCCATCTGTGTTGAATTGTTCATCTCAGAAGATGTTTTCTCAAAGGTAATCAGATAATGTCTCCATGACCCATGCCCATATAATTGATTTTGAAATATTTATTGTACTTGGTGTTTGTCTTCCCTTGTATTGTATTCTATCAAGGTACATCTATCTATAATCTTACTATATTATCTCCCAGTGGATGTTTCTATTGATTTCAGTCATCAAAAGATTCCTGAAAGGGTCTGGTGTTTTCCCATCAGAGTTGAGAACCTATTCCATCAAGGAACCTTAGTGTTGTGCAGACAAGATTGTACAGTTGGAGATCTTATGACAGTGTTCTTTATTCCACTTGACACTAAAAGCACCATTTTTAGTCACAATTACATCTACAAGAGAGTTACCCTGTATTTTTATCTCAAATTTATTCCAAATCTGATGTCTTAATTTCATCTGAATCAGATCATCAGTCTCCCAAGTATCTTTTCAAAGCTTCTTTCTTACCTGGGGGAACTAGGCTTGTATACCTTCTATGGCAAGAGAGGTCTTTGAGTTATTTGAGTAAAATTGAGGCCTTTAGAATGTCAACAATTTTTTTTAACTTCGGGGGATCAATGTGAAGGGAATGTCATTTCCAGTCAGCATCTGTTTAAATGGATTAGGCTTTGCATTGAGTCATGTTGTAAATTATCTAAGGTGTCAGTTCTTTACAGTTCTAGATTTCACTCTACCATGCATAAACGAATATCACGGGGGTACCTCTATATTCTTTTCATTATAAACATCTGGAAGGGTCCTGCCTGGACTTCTGTATAAACCTTCATACAACACTGTTCTCTCAATTTGGGATCTAGGTCTGATGCTGGTTTTGGGAGGACAGTTCTACAATTCTTGTTTAATTAGATCTCTGCCCTCCTTCATGGGGTTATGCCATTTACTAAATTCCCACAAGTGGGACTATGCAGAGGCTACTTCAAGAAGTACAAATGGTTACTTATGTTAGTAACTCTGGTTCTTAAGGGTGTTGTCTCTGCATAATTGCACTGCCTGTCAGCCTCTCTCTTCTTCAGAATTATACTCTTACAGGATTCTTGAGTTTAGGGGAAAGAACTAAGGCAACTGGATTTGCATAGCCTTTTTATAACCTTGGGTCCAAAGTTTGTTGCCACAAAAAGGTCCCGAACTGACACTGCTTTCTTGAAGGTCTGTGGCTCCAGACATACCACAGGTGTGAATATGCAGAGGCAGCACCCTTGAAGAACCACAGTTACTTTGTGGTAAGTAGCCATTTTTATTCAACATGCTAGTCTCTTAAAAGTGCAAAATAGGTTGCCACCAAGATCTCAAACTTAAATCCAAAGTAACTACATAAATCTTAGATCTTAGATTTATGTTGCCTCTCAGATAGAATTGGTGTGTATTGAGTAAATTAAGATTTTATAGTTCCATGGTTTACATCTTATTGCATGAATTTAGATTTCAGTTGATAGTGTTGTTCACATTTATAATTATTAATGTATTTCTTTCAGGTTCTGAATTGTGTCCTTTAAATTTTAACATTACTTTTCTATTATATTTTTCTAGGAGTATGATGATGGATATGGCACTGCTTATGATGAGCAGGGCTACGACTCCTATGACAACAGCTATAGCACCCAGGCACAAAGGTAAGTATCATGTCCCACTGTATTTATAGCAGAAAACTCCTACAGTCAAGTAGCTAATTTTACTTTCAGTACCGATGAATTCCTTTTATATCTAATCTTAAACAGCATAAATATTATGCAAAAGGATTGTTAGCAACAATCTGCAGTCGTATATACTTCTCTGCTATCAGGTATGTATAAAAGACAAAATGCCACCAAAAGGGGTTGAAAGGAACCCAGTAAACAAGGAGAAGAGGTATTGAAAGAATGGCAGATTTTACTAGATGACATTATTCAGAAACTTGGTTGACAGTGGCATTCTAAAGTGCCTGAACTGTATGTATTTGAAAGAAAAGGAATTTTCACTCACTTTTTAGCTTGTTGGAACTTGACTTCGAAAAATTTCAAGAATCAAAGGATAACGTGTAACTTGTTCAGTACAAATAGATTTTGATAAAAGAATTTTAGGGGACTTTATATTTGATTGATTTGGTTTATTTGGTTGAGCTCATTTTGCTGACCATGCTGAGTATGCAGATATTCTGGTTTTATGTTCCTGCATTCATTATCCATGGTACAGGACCCTCTGTTGCTTTTCACTTTAAAAGATTTCTCTTACTATTTTTCTCATGGGTAAGATGCCCTTTACAATATCTCTAAGGATAGGGAGTGTGCTGCTCAAACTGACAATATATCTCATCCACCAGTAAACAAGTTAAAGACAACATTTACTTAAACGCATTGTAGCTTTGCAGCAAAATCTGAAAAACTAAAGAACCCTGATTTCACAACACGGTTGAGGAGGAAAAACACTTTCCCAGCTGGCAACTGAGGAATATTTTGCCATTCTGTTTGTCAGGAATGATTTAAGTCTTTGTGAGGGAAGAAAGCTCTCAAAACCAGGCAAACTGCTCAAAGTGAAAAATCAATGGAAAGTTTTAATTTCACTGTTTTCACTGAGATTGTTTTTTTATGACGTTTTTGACAACCAGAAAAAAGTAGTCTTTATTCATGGTGTCTCCCACCTGAAAAGGTTTTGTAAATTTCTAAAAACTGATGTGCATACCAGAAGCATTAAGAACTCTGGAGGACGTGTGTACCTTGCATACTACCTTTAGAAAATAGCAGCAGTTAACATGATTTTTTTAGTAAAGATACTGTTCAAAAAAGTCTTAGAATTTTTACTTTTAATATTGGCAGTTCTATTTTGCTTTGTTGCTTTTAATGTTAGTAATAGGTTTTATTTGCTGTTGCAGGCTATGCTTCCAGATAGCACAATGAAAATACTGGACTAGACTAAAACTTAAAAATGTTTATTTGAATTTGTTTTTCCTTTTTGTCAGGTTTTAAACAAGACCTGTTATGAACTTTTTTTTTATCTTTTACAAATTTTGGTGGTCCTCTGAATGGTGATGAGCAAAAATAGTTCCAGTTATGTTCACTAGACTCCAAATTTGATAAACTTTTTAAAAGAATGACTTATTCACTTGCTTATTTTGCTGTTTTTATAAACAATAGGGGTAGTTCATGGTGAAAGGGAAGGGGGTATGAATTTGCTCAATGAAATATTGCTCACACAATTCTGGCTCACATTTTTTGCAAAGATATTTCAGAATTGCATTAGCAGGCTAAAACTAATAGCTGTAACCAAACCATCTGAGCAACACAGAACAATTTTTAATCTGATGATCAAAGAGTAGCACATATTGTAATGTCATTTGTACCTACTGAGAGATGCTTGTAACACTGGAATATATCTAAATGTCTTTGGTGTTACACAAGTTATGTGAAACAAAAGAGAATTGTGATGCTATAGTATCTTAATTTTTTTTTGATACTTTCCCTCATTATAAGGGGAAAAAAACTTGATGTATTTGAATGAAGAAGAGGTCCACATGTTTAAAATGGGTCACTTTTTGATTAGCATGTAAAAGCAAGTTTTGCTTGTTTTAAGTACCCCTAAAATAATGTTAAAGCAAATATTAGGTTAATCGGCCTCTTTAAACTCAGTCAACAGTTAGGGCTACATTTTCCTTTTTTCTAGTACTGTGGGTACGTGGAATGCTTAAAAAGTTCATACTGATTTAAAAATATTGCAGATTTCAGAGATATTCTGTGTACTTAAAATGAGGAATGCCACTAGAACTGGAACTATCTCTAGAAACAGACTAAAGTTTTGAAGTGTACTCCACTGTATGTGTACTTCTACTACTCAAGGGAAGTTACAGATGCTTCATCTATTTGCTGTTGTTCAGTCTTAGGATTCCTGATTTGCAAAATAATGATTTTTTTAGCGTATTTGTTGTACATCTCAGAGTAGCGGTATTTTTGGTATTCTAGGCTGAGTCAGATAGTTTTCTTATGTGAATCAAAATAGTACAGTGCTAATTAAAGAGAATGTTCTTGCAGTGGAATGAATAGCTCACTGTCCCACCCAAGTACATCTCAAATGTGAAGTGCAGTAGTAAATTTTTGTAGTTTGTTCTCCATTTTGGGGCATCCAGTACAACTGGATAGAGCTCTCCTCTAGCATGGCACGATATGATACTTTCACATCCTCCTTACTGTCTCCCCAGGATATCTGTAGCTGATAGCGGTTGAAGGGAATGATATGACATTCAGATACCATGGTCTAAATATTGTGGGTGGATGGGTACTTGAATCTTCACTTGCCTTCATGAAAAGCTGCTCTTCCTCTCTATACAACCTAACCTCCCCTTCTCTCCAGCAACCAATATTGTAATATAGTAGCCAACCTCCAACTAGGAGACTGAAAGTGATGCCCATTTTAAGTTTTATTAATGGCATTTTGTTTGGTATTCAGATGTCATCACTGAGAATCACTTTTGCATGACTCCTGGTACCTATCAACCTTGGGTTTTATTTAAAAACCTTTCACTCTAATACCAGAGAGGAGAAGACTAAATTTGAGATTTCTCTCCAATTCTTACACATGGTATTGTCCCAGCAAGCAAGTACAATATATGTGGGGAGTGTTTCCATTTTGAATACTAAAATGTTGCATCGTCTACAAATAATTTGTTCATAGAGTAAATCCACAAATAGAGTGCATTTTGGTGGGCTTTCAAAGGAACTATCTTTGGCAGTTATGATATTCTTCAAATAGATAACTCTGAAGAGTGCTGGTTTTAGCCAGCCAGCTCCATTGACTTCTGTGGGAGACGTGATTAAATTCCCATGCAGCACTTAACATTTAGGGGATAATATTAGATAGAAATTACACCCATACAAATTAGTAAGTCTAATTGAACAAATAATGCTAAAGCAGTCCAGTCATAGTAAGAAAGATAAAATGAGTTTGTGAAACATTATTGCTTAGCTTTTGAAAATTGAGAATAGTAAACATTTGTGAAATTGTCAGTCAGCCAGCTCCACCTAAAAACCAGAGTATAATGGAAACTGTCAAAAGCTATGAACGCTCATGGTAGATTTTCAATGCCAAGCTAAGGAAAGCAAAAAGACTAAAATTAATGTTGCCATATGCCATGCAATATAGCTTTTCTGCAGGCAGCTTTTGCATTATGCATTCAGTAATTTCTTCATGAAAGCTGCACTACATAGATACATAATAATTTAACATATACTGCTGTATATAGCACAAATGATCTGTTTAAATATAAATTGAACTGCAGAAGTTAAATACTGCTAAAACAATAACCCCCCATATTATTGTATTCATTTGTTCTTGGCACACAAGTGCCTTTTTTACCTAACTTCACTCGTGTGTGTGTGTGTGTGTGTATATATGATATTTATGAAACAAAGTTGAATTACAAATAATACTTCTCAAAACCATACATCAGGCAATAATCTTTTACTTGGATTTATGGTCAAAAGAAGTTGCTGTTTTAATGGCCTAATGTTAATACTAGAACATTTTATCATGAAAATCCACAGATTAGAATATAATAGAGGAAAAAGGAGAATTTTAACAGGGAATTATTTCAGATCTGTAGACCAGAGTTTAAACATGTTCACTCTGAAGACAAATTACATTAAAATATTAAATCTCTAAAACACTACAGAAAAAATTAGGCCAATGGCCTTTATGCCTTGGAAGCTTCATACATGAGCTACACAAGTGTTTGCGAAGACAATAATAGGGCAAAGGCAAACTACTGGTAATAAATCAATTGCCACTGTCAGCTCAATATTTAATGTTCTCTAGAATACATAAGATTTATCACTGAGGAATTGTAGAATAATGGTAGTATATGGAAACAAAGTCCACTAGGGAGATGTACTACATCATTCAGATTTAGCGCTGCCATCTGCTTAATAGCATTGAGATGACTACAGAGGTACTTATGATCAACCATTCATAGCAGTGACAGATGCTGCAGAGAATTAACATGCCTGAGAATGAAGTTTGTTACTAAAATTCAGATTATGTGACAAGATTGCTGAAAAAGGATATGTTTGTTACCTGTCCAACAGCACTAAAGGTTTAGTATCTACTTTAAAGTTTTCTGTCAAGAGAGAATGATTAATGCTTGCAAACAAAACAAAATGCTTAATTTTTCTCAGATTTCAAAGCTCTTAAAAATTTATAGAACTATTTCAATTTTCCCCACGTCTCCTAGAAACTTCAAAAAAAAGTATTTCTAGAATCGTTTGTTGATATATGTGATATGGACACAGTGATTTTTTCCTCTTGGGTGCTATATCCATAGTATTCCAACCAGTGATGGAGGTTTGTCAAGAAAAGAGTTAATAATTTAAACTGTGAAAGCCATGGAGAGTAAACTAATTTGCATAAACCTACATGCCATATGTTTTTTTCATAGAATCATAGGATTGGAAGGGATCTTGAGAGGTCATCTAGTCCAGTCCCCTGCACTCATGGCAAGACTAAGTATTATCTAGACCATCCCTGACAGGTGTTTGTCTAACATGCTCTTAAAAATCTCCAATGATGGAGATTCTACAACTTCCCTAAGCAATTTATTCCAGTGCTTAACTCCCTGGACAGTTAGGAAGTTTTTCCTAATGTCCAGCCGAAACCTCCCTTGCTTCAATTGAAGCCCATTGCTTCTTGTGTTATCCTCAGTGGTTAAGAACAATTTTTCTCTGTCCTTGTAACAACCTTGTATGTACCTGAAAACTGTTATGTCCCCTGTGTCTTCTTTTTTCCAGACTAAACAAACCCAATTTTTTCAATCTTCCCTCATAGGTCATGTTTTCTAGACTTTTAATTGTTTTTGTTGCTCTACTCTGTACTTTCTCCAATTTGCCCACATCTTTCCTGAAATGTGGTGCCCAGAACTGGACACAATACTCCAGTTGAGGCCTAATCAGCGCGGAGTAGAGCGGAAGAATTACTTCTAGTGTCTTGCTTACAACACTCCTGCTAATACATCACAGAATGATGTTCGCTTTTTTTGCAACAGTGTTACACTGTTGACTCATATTTAGCTTGTGATTCACTATGACCCCCCAGATCCCTTTCCGCCATACTCCTTCCTGAGCAATCATTTCCCACTTTCTGTGTCCGCAGTTTATTCGTCTCTTCTTCTGTGCAAATCTCCAG